GTAACGGATGGATTCAAGGTCCATCCTGAGTTCATCGGTCAACCATATCCAATCAGTTTCTATTTCCATCAATCTCTGTCTTTCCCCCTCACGTTCTTTCTTGTTGATATTACGACCGTCTACGCTTTTTCGCAATGGAATGGAACGTGACAACAAAGAGGACCTCAATTTTTCAGTAGAAATGTTTAGAGATGAAGCAGTAGGTAGCATATGATTGCAATTTGCTTTTCAATGTTTCAATTTCCTAAAGAAGCGCTGCCTTTTTCATTACCACCATTGTTGGACTGCTCAAATGGTATTATTTCATTCTTCGAACGCTCATGAGGATATTCAATTGCAGAATTTTCTTTCTCAAGTTTGTATCGACCTGCAGAAGTTTATAGACCATCAAAACATAGCCTAAGTTATAATATCTTCTCATTCTAAAGGGGTCAAAAATATTATTACCAGATGGTTTGACAGCTCAAATTTTGCTGCTTGCTCCTCACAAATACTTTCAAGTGTTTTCTCGCTTTTGGTGGCTTCTTTCAAATCCCTTGTTACAACCTGAAATTAAAGAAACAAAACCAGTAAGTACACAACAACGACCAAACCATAAAAGAGAACATGTTTCAACAATGTAACATACGGAGTTCTCGTTGTCTTCTTGTTTGTTATCAGCTGCCACAATCCATGTCTTCAAGCTATCCTGAACCCCATCAGAGTTGTTGTTATCAAACTTCCTTTGGCAAGATTAACAAAGCAAAGAAGTAGAAGAACCGTCTGAAGATGGTTTGTCATTTGGTAATGTTTGAACCGAAGCATTGGTCTTGTCTGCCTCTGGACAAGTTTCAGCATTAAGTGTTCGAAAGAGCAGGCAACTGATAATGCTCTTAAGAAGAACTTATAGTTTCTGATGATGATTAGATATCGTAGATTTCAGACTTTCATGGTTCCATAGTTTCAAGTATTTAAAGACACTATATTTGAATAAGATGTGAATAAGAGTAAAACCGTCGGTCAAACATACTAAGTCAATTGGTTTAATGTGCCAGGTGTGCAGTAACGACTGTTAACGGTTATTAACAACGAGTGACTAATTTATAACAAACGATAACATTAATGATCGATTTGTAACTTTTTAAATATCAGTGGTGAAAAAAAATTACTCAAACATTAGTGACCATTTACGTAGTTTACCCTTTATTTATTTACGATATACTTTAAATCTTTTTTTATTTATATTTATATCGGTGTATGTTGGAGTTATGTGATACAAATTTTCTTTTGATGAAATCTAATATGATAAAGAAAAAACTCTCTTAAAACCAATGATATTTAAAAAGTTACAAATCGATCATTAATGTTATTATTTCTTTATCATATAAAAAAACACTGTTCAAAATTATTGGTATTTAAAAAGTTCTTAAATTATCAGTTTTAGTTAAATTTTTAATTTTTTTCAAAACCATACCAAAAGTTTAGTTTTTGTTTCATTTTAGTACCCACTGTTCAAAATTTAACGTTAAGTTTTGAAAAATTGAAAGTTTAAGTACTAAAATGGACAAAAAAATGATAGTTTAGATACTAAACGCGTTAAGTTTTTAACGGCGAGGTACTAAAATAAGACGAAAACTAGACGTCGGGTATGATTTAAAAAAATAAAAGTTTAAATACTAATATGGACTAAAATTAATAATTTAAATACTAAATCCGTGGTTTACCCTTAAAGTTAACATCTCTAAAATTGGTGTAATCCCTCGATATTGATTTATATTTTGATTCTTTTTACAAAGAAGTCTATTGTCTTACACGTACGTATACGCTATATAAATCCAAATTTGAGAGTTGTATACCAAATATTTTATTTTGATTAAATGAGACCCACAAATCATTAAAAGTGCAGCGTCGCATATTCTCACGACCGCCGTACATATACAACTCAAAACTTGCCGAGACAATCGTAATTTCTCATAATCAGATTCTCTAAATGCCCAGGTATTGGTACAACATAGAAGTATCATTTCTATGAAAATTTCATGTACTTTTTATTAAAATATTTGTGGGTAAAGTACATAAATGATCCTCTTATCGTAGTATAATGCTTTATTAAGTCTCGAGATTATTAAAAGTTAACAAATGGTCCTTCAACTATAGGGAGTTGCTTTGTTGAGTCCCTCGACTATTAGAAGTTGAAAAATGGTTACCCAACTATATATTATGTTCCAAACTCATCATTTTTCGTTATAAATTTAATGGCAGTCTGAGTTGTATGCTAACTTGCTTACTGAGATATGATAAAATCTGATCTTATAATCTCAAACGACTATCATACTCAATCAGCATGTTAACGACAAACTGAGATGATCGGTAATTTTTTAATGAAAAATGACGGGTTTGTAACATGATGAATAGTCCAGTGACTATTTTGTAACTTTTAATAGTCGAGAGATTCAATAAAATAATATTTTATAATCAGAGGATCATTCATTTACTTTATCTAATATATTTTTATTCATTTAAAAACTTTATACATTCTTTTGCAAATATAAAATCATAAATGAAACTCTCTTAATTTGTCAATCTCCATCATAGTCGAAGCATGCTCCAATTCCCGGTTTGTTTGTTTCTCTAGGGTTTCAACATAGGCATATAACGTGAGATTCTCCATTGGAACCCGACAAAGATGGAACCAGAAGAAGTTGCGGTTTTCGAAACATCGAAGCTTTTGACCGCAGAACACAAGGAAATTGAAATACCGACCAAATAGTATGTAATAGAACAGTGTCGTTCCAAGCATCCCTGACGGGGTCATAGGATGCATCGGGTGTTGAATTTGTTGTTGCACGTCATATTTTGTATAGGCAAGGACAAAAGGGTGCCTTTTTCTTTGTACTGAGAATTACTATAACAAAGCGTCTTCGATTTATTATCTGTACATGCCGGGACACTGCCTTGGAAATGATCGCCAAGTAATTGCTATAAAAATATTAATGTGGCTGTTGCATTGTTTCCAACTTTCCACACCTTAGGGTAGAGGGACATAAGCGATGGCTACTTTCTCTTGTCCGGTGATCTCGTTTTCCTTCCGGTGTTGTTACGGCTCGAGTTCGAATGGTAACCATGGAGATTATAGAGTCAATATCAATGTTAATGGGAATGCTTCTGCAGGGCCTTTCAAGCATCATGCATTAGTGAATGAGATTTCTGTAAAAAGTCCCACCTCTTTGGCTAGTATACAGTTCCTTGGAAACGGGCGTATAAGTGAGGAGAAGATTCGGCAGAGGATTCCGACGAAGAAGCAGTTTGTAGACCGTTACCGTCAAGGGCTCATCGTCGAAAGGGGAGTCGGGTATAGACAGACGATTGTGGTCCGATCTTACGAAGTTGGCGCCGATAAAACAGCTTCATTGGAAACCCTACTTAACCTCTTCCAGGTGATAAATTAAAGCTCATCGGGTCCTTCAATACAGCAGGCAACTTGGTAATTATTCAGAGATTGTAATTTTTCTTTACGTAGGAAACAGCATTGAATCATGTCTGGATGTCTGGACTTCTAAGCAATGGATTTGGAGCCACACATGGGATGATGAGGAACAACCTCATTTGGGTTGTCTCAAGAATGCACGTCCAAGTCGATCATTATCCCATCTGGTCAGCCTTTCTCGCCATCTAGACTTCAGATAAGCTTTTTCCGATGATTTTAAACGAGTTTTCAGCTTGACACGAATCCTGAGATATGCAGGGGAGAGGTAATCGAACTAGACACATGGGTCGGAGCATCGGGGAAGAACGGGATGAGACGAGACTGGATAATCAGGAGTCAAGCCACAGGCATCACCTATGCTCGTGCCACTAGGTATTATTGTATATTTGCATACAAAACCACAACTTAAATTAACTAAAAACATGCATGATTAAACAGCACATGGGTGATGATGAACGAGCAAACAAGACGACTCTCAAAGATGCCAGATGAGGTGAGGGGTGAAATTTCTCCATGGTTCATAGAGAAACAAGCAATCAAAGAGGCTGTACCGGAGAAAATCGTCAAGCTGGACGATAAAGCAAAATATGTGAACTCGGACTTGAAGGTAGAATTTACACTTATAACATACATTATGCATGAAAGAGCTAATGGGGTTTGAATTAATATAATGTTGTAGCCAAAGAGGAGTGATCTGGACATGAACCACCATGTAAATAATGTCAAGTATGTAAACTGGATGCTGGAGACTATCCCAGACAAATTTTTGGAGTGTAATCAGCTGTCGAGTATTATACTCGAATATAGGAGAGAATGCGGGAGTTCGGATCTGGTTCAATCGCTTTGCCAACCAGATGAAGACGAGATTTTATTCACAAATGGAGTTGTGCAACAGAATCTGCTCAAAAATAATGTTCTGGGAATGGTGGGAGGTAATGGACGGCCACTGGATATGAACACGGTGACGTACGGATATACTCATCTTCTTCGAACCAAAGGGGAGACTCGAAATGAAGAGATGGTTAGAGGAAGGACCAGATGGAAGCCAAAGATTTGATACACATACATGTATATGTACATATGTATGTATGTATGCATGTATGACTGACTGACTAGAACAAGAAAATAATAATATTGCTTAAAGATGGAACGGAGAGAGGAAATAATTGATTCAAGCAAAGGGCATCTAGGCTTAATTTGGGCTCAGAAATCCCAGATGTTTGATTGTGGCAATGGGGATGGGAAACTAAAAGGAGACCATCTCAATGGCATGCCCAGAGTCGACCGCCAAGCAACGGAAACCCCGAGAGGAGCTGCTATTTGCTCGGCATCAAGCCCTGGCGAACTACGTTCAAGAATGAAACGAGAGTGAAATTAAAATATTATTGTTAAGTGATGTGTGATTATTGACTACCCTAAGTAAACAAGAAAGAATAAAATATATATGACTTGCACTTGAATCTGTGATTCACTACCTAAACAGACTAACACTAAGAATAAGCATTTACAATACAGTTTTTATGAAGTGATACACGGTATTTACAACCATCAATATAATAAAAGCCACTAGTAAAATAACTACGAAAGAATAGTAATAGTTTCACCTCATATCCTGAATTTATCGTCTCTTTTTACCGTAACTGCGCTGCAGTTTCCAAGACCAAATGAGTATGAACGAAACAAGAGCCACTCCAATAGACGCCCAGAATATTACCAACCATTTCGGCATCGCCTTGGGATATATGCCTGATGAGACGGGAATTGTTAAATATTACAGAGTGATTGCAAAAGAAATGAATTATTATTATCATTATGTATGGGACTTGGGACATACCATGTCCAAACTTGATTCCAATGAGAAGCTCAACAATGCAAATTGCAAGGGAAAGCCAACAAAATGCTCCAACCTTTTTCACTGGTTTTCTGAAATAATAAATAAATAAAATAACCAAGGATTTAAGTTGAACAAGAAAATTCATCATTGGGTGAGAGAATGAGAGAGTACCGGTCTTGGAGGTATGAGTTGTACTCGCGAATTGTCGGTATTGCTATTAGCCACCACAGGATCAACCTATACACGATCACAGGGTTTCGAGGAGGAATCCACAGACAAAACTTGAGAAAGAATGTATTAAGTTCTACTGTCAAAAAGACGATGCAAAGACTGAGAACTTGAACGAAACGCATTGGACCAAGCAGCGGGTGCCATTCATCTTTGTCCCACTGTGCTGGTGTGAATTGTCCTAAAGTTCGTTTAACCTGGAAACAGCAAAGAGTACATATACAAGGAAAATATGAGAAAATACAGTACAACAAAAGAAAAACTTATCTGTAAGGGAAAATGGACTATATTTCCATGTCCAAACAGACTTAGAGGTTTAAAAAACAAAGCAACGAACATACTTTGCCCATGATGTTAGGCTGGCGACTTATACCAACCCACTCGTATGTTTTCCCGTCAAAGTACCTAACGGTATGCATTCCAGACCAGATACCTATGAGCAAAGCAAATATTTCCGTACAAGAAATGAATAAAAAAAGTGAAACAGAACAGACTTAGCACTTGAGATCACAATAATACAGAATAGGCTTAGTACTTGAGATCTTACCAAACCAATTACAAGTCAAAATATCAAGAATGATGCTGTCCCACCAGCACTCATTGAAGTTCGGTAGCATGTGTCGGAAGGTAAACTGTATATGCCACCATATTAGTTAGTTTATGGATGCAAAACAGACAGCGAGGACATTCAAGACTTACCAATTACTACCATAAATCTAAATGTGAATCGAGGATAAAACAAAAAGACAATCTGTGTCCATTCAAAAAACTAACCTCCATCAACTCAAATCCGATTGAGAGGACCCAAAGAAGTGGCTGATTGCGGATTAAAATGGCCTTGCCCCACCAACCAAAGATGTGGGCTACTACAAATTCATCAAATAGCGTTTCCTAGAAGAAAAAAAAAATATACATGAAAAATGTTAGAAGTAAGAAATGTATATATAATTTGCAACAAGAAATACAGGCTCAATCATGCAACTAAAATAAATGCCTAAAGAAGATGTAAAAGAAGTAGAATAAAATATAGAAGCCAGGTTGTGCAAGAAGATCCATACATAAACATTCTTAAACCTGCTGCTTGAGGGGTTTTCAGGAATATATATGCGACAATCTGCACCATAGGATCTTTCCGGAAGCTCTGCATAAAGATGCAAACAATAATCAAGGAAACTTCGATAAAATTTATAATAGCAGAACAAGTATGAAACTAGATGACTTTCAAAAGCAGTACCAACACCAAGGTCAGGGTGGAGAAACTTCATGAACTGCCTAGCATCATCACGCTTCTGGAAAACAGAGTTGAGAGCAGCCATCACCAATCATATATTCAAATATGGATGATAGATTTTGTGTTTGTATGTGTGGGTTAAATATCAACAATTCCAGAACAATTTTGAATATCAACACATCAGGCATAGATACATGTGTTTTCCATGCATGTGTGAGCAGAGAGAGATGGAATTTGTTTTTTTGTAAGTAGTGCACCTCAGCATCTATTTTGAAAGGGTGTGTTCTGATATTATTAACTCATGTCATGTTACCACCTAACTATACCAAAAGGAAAACAAGGAAAAGAGAGGGGGAGGTTTTCCTAAGGGCAACCAAAAGTTTATAGGTGCAGTATTGCCAAGAATAGGTAGAAAAGCTACTATAGATGAACATGGTTATGCACAAATAATATAAATAGATAAGAATAACAATGGAAAAACATATAGATAAAAATGTAAAGCTGAAAATAAGGAAACTAACCTGAAAAAGCAAAAATGTGAGGGCAACAAGATAAACAACAGCCATTCCATGAACTAAACGCCAAATTGCAGGATGTGGCCGAATTAGGACCCTATAAAGAAGTGTAAAATCCTGATCTTTATAGAGAGCAATAAAACAAGCATTCCCCTAACGATACTAAAATGAAATTCAGGCTATTAAAACAAAATTTCACGCACACAAAAAAAAAACAAGATTAAACTTTATGATAATCCATAAAGAAAATTCATAGATGTATTTTCTCTGGCCAGCATAATCTCAAATGTTTCTTCATATAAAGTGATAAAGCCTAATCAATTTCCCATGCATTTGGACTCTTTTAAAGGAGATTTCTCCAAAGACCAAGGTAGTCTTGCTGGAGAAAAATAATCTAGTCATACCACTAGATAACAAGAATGCACAAGCAAACCTTTAGAGACACAAAAAGAAGAGAATCCAATGGCAAACAGTTAAATGCACCTAGTTCAGCAGAAGAAATCAAACTAGTAACTTACGTAGAAGGAGCCTGCAGCAAGCAATAAGCTAGAAAAACTGCAATCATTGCCCACACACCCCTACAAAAACAGTCAGACGAGAAAATACTTAAAATGAGTAAGCAAGTAAAACAGAAAAGACGGTAAAATGTCATTAGAACTAAACTGGAACCTTTTTACTGATGTTACAAGATCGCCAGACTCACTGCTCTGAGGACCAAGGGCTCCACTTGCCCAACTGGTAGATATATGCAGACAATTAATAAAAGAATAGTAATATAAGAATTGAGAGAATTTTGAACTAAATAAAAAACATTAAAACAAAAACAGAACATGTTTCATTCTTTTAAACAAAACAATTTTAGATTCTTTATGGTTTTCTGCTATGTATATCGTAGGATGCAACCTAAGGATGGAGAACTAATTCTGCCTGGTTAAAACATTTAGGAACACTATTATAAGAAATCACATTCATAATAAATGAAAGTAACATGTATAATTTTACAGGGCAGAACTTAGCCAAATAGATAATACAAAGAATGTTTGCCTTTCAGAACAGACACTTTTACCAATCAAAATGGGGAGAAAGAAATAGAAGCCACCATATTAGAATAATATTTGTTGAATGATATAGAATAGAAACAAATGTGTAGGCTGCCATGATATTTTCCCAAAATTACTAAAAACGCCTCCAAAACCATTGCTTGGTTGCAACCATAGTGTCCTTTCTAGAAAGGATACCCCATCACATGCTCAAAACCTTGATTCACTGCACAGTTGGCAACGCAAGAGCAGCATCAAGTATATATCTACAAGGGATGGGGACTAGGAGAATGCACCAAAAACAAATTCCACAACAAGGACCAAAAGACAACCATATGGTTGATGAGTACCAAAATATTCAGTCATTTTTAACAAAAACATGAGTATAAATGCAAAGATGAGGAAACAACATAAAATATGTACACTAACCTAACAAGGAAAACTGCACAGTTATGGTTGAGGAGGTAAATATTAAGCATAGTACTCACATGAGAAAGCATGCACCAACAAATAATAATGAAATAGTACGAGGCTTATATGCCCATGCAGTCCATGGATCTAATTCATCTATGGAATATGATAAGCCAGTATGTCCATTTGCTTGGACAAGATGATCCCTTCTCTTCGCTCTCCTATGACCATTAGGTTCCATATATGCTCAGCGTTTCAGGAACACACTGCAGAACAACAATGGAAGTAAGATCGAGGGAACTGAACTTCAGATTTTCTACATATGATAATCTTACAAATATGAGTAAATAAGAGTAAGAGAAAATCTATATCTAAATAAAGTTACACGTGCAAAAAGAGCAGTGCAACACACAAGACTAAAGAAAGCATATATGAACACAACATACAATAATTTCATTTAACAAAAGTTAACCAACAATATGGGGAAAGATGAGGATAAACTTTAAAAAGGGAAAACGAAAAGATGGCAAACTCTTATCATCAGATATATCACCAAATGAGATACTTTTCCTTCTATCTTATTTATGGTTAAAAAAAACAGAACCTTGGGAAGAAGTATGTAGGGTGTTTCTCAAAAGCAAGATATTAAGCTATTTCTTGATAGCAAGGTCTATTAAAAATATAAAAACAGTAGTTACCTCCCCATTAACTAATGCAGTTTCAAGGGAAGAATGTATAGCTACAATGTAAATTCCATGTCAACCAAAACACGCATATACATCTCTCTTCGTACAGATGAAAAAAATTATAAAACCGAACTCACAACATTAGTAACTTGTGGTATTTTTATTAGTTATCTTAAAAAAGGGGAAGATTTGGTAACTACAAAGCTATACACATTGTAAATTTGTAATGGAGACATTGAATTTCCAGAATGACCAAAGACAGGCCACATGTTTGGGCAGGAATGGGCAAAAGGCAAGACCAATTAAGTAAAAGAAGTTGTACACTAGTAACAAAAGATGTAAAACACAACGTTATTAAAGGTGAAAGCAAACCAGTAGAGAATCCCTAAAGCTATGGTCCCTACAATTTGGCCAAGGATTGAAAATCATATAGAACACCATTTCATACGATGTGACAATCCACTTTCCTACTACATTGTAATCTATCTACCACAAAACAAATATCAATATAATTGCTTTATTAGCATTATAGTATTCAAAGCTAATGGTCATTTTAATCATCAAAAAGAAAAAAAAAATCACTAGGAGGATAAGTTAAAAGGATACTTTAAGGTTCCTCTCAAAAAACTTGTTTTAAGAAGAGAATTTACCAAGGACTAGCACAATAGTTACAGTATTTGTTTAAAAACATCAATAAATACTCCTCACAAGGAAACTAATGCTAGAAACATTTCTGGATCATTAGATCATAACACAGAAGAGCAATCTCAAGCTTGGCAAATATCCCTTTAAAATAGAATAATAGTTGGTAACTAGGCAGTTATGTCTTGGAAAACTTGAAATGCAAACAAAAAACGAACCCATAAAAAGTAAACAGCTTAACCAAAACAAATCCTTATACTTTAAAAAGCAAAAGCAAAGCCCATTAACCAGATCATATACATAAAAGAACAAATGCAATAGCACCCAATAACGATTTCTTATGCACTATACCAGGCAAAGGAAAGAACAAATACAAATTCCATTCTGATAATAGAAAAGAATGATAATTAATCACTTCCAATGTCCAGAATCACCAAATTCCAAGTCAGAAAAAATAGAAAACAAAAATGCATTCCAACACGAGCCAACTTTATTCACATGCAAGCATAATTAAACTGATAAACCCATTGATCATCAAAAGTTGCTCAACCTTTTTCTTAAAAAAGAGAGAAATAATAACAAATTCACTCGAGCTACTGCAGGGTTTAAACCAATAAATAACAGTTCCAAACGCATGCTTAAATTTCCAATGAATTATAAAATAAATAGCATAGTTCTAGAATAAAAAAGAAGCAACGAAACCTCTATTATTAAGCTAATCAAAGAAAATGAAGTGTCGATAGAAAAAAATTAACTTGTAGCTGAAATTTAATTATTATTTTTTAAAATCCAAACGAATCTCGGAAAGCTTTATTGCATGTAATCATAACAGCATTAGAAAAAAAAACTTCATCTTAAAAAGGAAACAAAAATCAATCGAAAGCATTCAATGGAAACAATTATTCACAGAAAATTAGAGAAAGGGATGTATAATTTCCATATAAAAACCGGAAATTTTAAAGGAAGAACGAAAAATTAACAGCGTCGATTGAGATTAAGAAATTGAATACGCAACAGCTTCAGGTGAAAAGAGAGACTGACGTGAGAAGAACAGAAGATAAGAAGCTGATAGAAGAAAAGGGTCTAACCGTACGATGAAAGTGAGCAGAAGATCGGCAGCGGTCCGGGCCTTGGAGTTTTCCGTGTCCCGAGGCTAAGAGGAAAAGAGCGACAAAAATGAAGGAATCAACACACAAATATATATATAATTATATATCAATAAATTGAATTTGTATAAAAGAAGAAATGAAACAGTGTGTGATTGTTATTCATCAAAATCTGGGAACACTCTCAAACAAACACAATATTATGTACTTCCCATATATATATATATACTTTTATTATTTTACCAGACAAAACAATAATAATAATAATAATCATTAAAAGAGAAAATTCGTACATTAATTAAGCTGAGAGAGGTGGGTGTTAATCTTTCTTCCTCGTCAAATAGAGGTTTGTAGAACGAGATGAGCTGAGCTGAGCTGAGCTGAGAAGCCTGAGATGAGAATGGGAGAGAAGAAAACGATTTAGTCTATATTACATTATTAATTAATTCATTGGTGAAAATATTTGTTGGTCCCTTTGTTATTGAATCATTTCAAATTAGTTTCTTTATTATTAAATGGTGTGTTATTTTATTGTATGCTAATGTTAATAAAATCGTTAGGCTAAGTTGAAACTAATTATATGTTCAGATAATATTGGGAAAAAATTGAAAAAAGAAAAATTTTGGGAACCAAATTAGAACTATGATCATAATTTGGGGATGAAATTAGAATATTCAAAGTTTAAGAACTAATTTAGAACAAAAGTCATAATTTAAGGATGAAATTGAAATAGATAAAAGTTTGAGAATACAATTAAAATAAAAACCGTAATTTGAAACGTGTGATGTAATTACCATGATTACATCTATCTAATATGCTTTAATTAAGTCATTTAATTTTTTATATTTTTTATAATTAAACTACTTTTTTAATATTCGTTTTTACTTTTTTTAAAAAAATTATGATTAATTCTCTTAATAATGTTGTTTTTATATTTAATTTGAAAATATGTGCTTGTTGACTTGATCTCTCTCTTATCTCAACTAGCTTGATTTCCACATCACATTGGTATTGCTCATTTTTTGTTGTTCAACTTATGGGTGATTTTTACAAAGTTTTGTTGTTCGATTTGACTCGTTATTTGTTAAATTTGTTAAAGTTTTATTCGACTCCTGCTCATTAAAATAAACTTGTTGTTCGACTCGTGCTCGTTAAGTTCGTTACTCGCCCCATTGCTCGTTAAGCTCACAAAAAGTTTTATCTTATTTTTTTAACTTTAGGTAAAATCTACTAATAATATATAGAATCTAATATAACCATAAATTGATAAATTTAACAAAAAAATTATCAAAAGAGTGCATGAAACAAATTGAAAATCTCAACTCCCAAATAACAATCTTAAATACATTAAAAAATATTTTTTGTTTAATTTTTCAGTGTAGTAAAATAATAATTATTAATTTATTTTTTATTATTTATTAAAAAATTAATAGCTTAGTCATTTATCTATTAGTAAATTAGTAATTTTTAATGAAATAATTTTTAAGTTAACTATAAAAAGTTATAAAAATAATTAATGAGTTGTCCGCGAACTTATCGAATCCAGTTAGACTTTGCTCAACTCAGCTATTAAAGTCTCTAGTCGAATCAACCTTAGTAAAGTTTTACCTAATTTTGATCGAGTTGAGTTCGAACTGCTCAACTCATTAAGCACGTTCTTTTCTTTCCAAGTCACGTGTTTTTTTTTTTTTTGGAAAATTAGTTGTAATTTTAAATAAATGATTGGATCACGGACATTAAAATTAGAAAATTACTTCTAAGTATAATCAGCCACTTTTTTATTTTTAAATATTTATTTAAAATGATTGAATAATAAGCACTTTAATGAAATGGGGTTGGTTCGTCAATCACAAAGATTTAGAATCTTTGACCGATTGATGGCAACGTTGATCTGTAGGATTTGGAAGATAATCAAAAGTAGATTTTGATGCATTGATTTTCTTTCACCCTTTTACTATTAATAGATATCAACTTAAGTAAGATGGATGGATGTAATTTCAAAAGTTGACATATGAATTAAGCGTTTTAAATGGTTAAAAGAATGATTACTATTCTTAAACGTTTTGGATTCGAGTACTGGTGATTACGCAAAATATTTGAACATTTATTGTTAAATAGTTAAAATTCTTTAAAACTGATATCGTCACTTGTAAATACCCTAGATTAATAAAAAAATATATGAATCGATTAGAAAAATTATGATTAATTTATAAAAGTTTTGAAAAAGGGTTCGTTAAAAACCCCTTCTAAGATCTACAAGAGGAAAAGAGTGTCCACAGACTATATTAACCGGGATCAATCTCATGAGTTACAGTAGAGATGATAATTTCAGGACAAACAAAATTAATGAAGGATGCAATATGAGGATTTTTCAGTAGGTCACCTATTATAGTAATATTCTCATCGAAACACATTTAACTGTGAAAATTTAATGGAATATGATGCATTAATGCTGGAATAATCAAAATAAGGCATCTACCGTTATGAAAATGGGCCAGTCTAACCATAAGAGAGAGAGAGAGAGAGAACAAAAGCAGGCAAAGACAAACACAAAGAGACAAGAACGTTCATCCTCTCAATTAATGTAATATGCAAGTTTATGTGTGTCCCATTGATAAGATGTTGGGTACAAATTTCTCTCACTAGGGGATGGAACAGTACCGGTGATGTTGAGTTTTGTGGCACCTGATGGGAGTAAGTGGGTGTGGCAAAACAACATAAGTGACGTTGGTAGGTAGATAGAATAATCCAGCTACTCATCCTAGCTAGGCATGTTTCATATTCATTACGCCAAACCAAAAACCCCTATTCAATAATTATGGTCTAGGGCTCCACCTCGGTCAAAGACGTACCCAAAAATTTATATTAAAATAATAATTTTAAATTTATAAAATTTAAAAAAATAAAAAATATCTTTTAATAAAATATACATAAAAAATTTAAAATTTATGATATTTTTAAATGTTAAAGGAATATGATGCATTCACGCCCCAACTATCCCTTTATATCCTTTCGGCCTACAAAGACTAGGGCTAGCACTAGGAGAAGGGGCCCTAATCATAAGTTCATAACCCTATTCTTTTGACTTTTGGGATTTATTTAATTTTGCCAAGAATCTTTTCAGTTTGCTGTTTTGCATGCTTAGTCATTTTAATAATACATAAAATTATAAGTTGGTTTCCACTAATCTCTTTGACTACTAAAGCTTTTAGATTTACAGTCTTCTTTAAATGATTGCATTATTTGACCGCTGAACAGAACGTCCGCTTTTCATTATTATGAGAGACGCATGCAATGTGACTCTATCTTCACAAATAGTGTAAGATTTCATATTAAAATTACTTTATTTTGTTTAATAATATAGATAGATAGATAATCGGACTTTGGATAACATATCTTATCGTGATTAGGGTGGGATCCAAAAGAAAAGGCAGGTGGGGTGTGTGGAAACAGGAACCATGTCCAAAATGGTGAACACACTGACCAAGCAACTTGTGGCCATCAAATTGGCATGAGTTCCCCGGACAAAACCGCGCATGTTGAACTCGAACGACCAAACTTTTAGCATTTGGTCATAAGTTGATTGTCGATGGGGGGAAATTTGGCCCAAGGGGAGGGCCTGCCTTTCCATTTTGAAAAACCATCCGCACAAATTGAAGCTGAAAAGGGGTCCTCAAAACCAACTCATGTCATTTCCATTACCAAGTTGAAAGCATAGCAACGAAGAAGAAATGAAAATGGAGCTTTTAATTGTCCGTTGGCTTTATTTCCCGTCACTCCGGCAACGATACAACATAATGACAGGAACCCGTAGTTACCTGGTTGTACCGGGCCGGGACATGATCAGGAACGAACACATAATTTAAAATTAGGGTCAAACTTGAATTCATAAAATTTTAGTAGAATAAAATGATTTTCAATAAAAAAATTAAAAAATTTAAAATTTTAGGGTGACTGCCCCCATCCACCTCTATCGGTCCATGGACGTGGTTACCCGGTTGGACCAGGAGGTGGTCAAAATTCTTAATATAAAGTCAAATTAATATTGCAAAAACCTTCACTTTTTGACTCCAATTGCTCATCTAATTATACTCAGCAAAGCAAAATATTTCAATTTAGGGTAAAATACACCTCCAGATCATTCAATTATAAACGGGTTATTTATTTTCTAAAAGTTATAATATAGTCCCTCAATTAAAATATTATTACAAACAAGTCACTAACCGTTAAATATTAGATATAATAATAATGTTACCTGATATAATAATAATTTCAGTCTCAAAAACTTGTAGGTTCTATCAATATGGTATTGATTCAAAACGGTTTAACAAATTTAACCTTTATATTTAAAAATCCATCAATTTAATATTTTTTTCCTCTCAAATTGTTTGTTCTTCTCCCATGAAATTTATATTATTTTTATGATATAATAATAGTTTAACATTAACTTATTGTTTGATTACTTTGATATAATATACTCGTTCGACTTGACGGTATCACAAAATAAAGATTGAATTGATGAAATTTTTAAATATAAAATATTATCTTTTTTTTTTCTAAATTAGGATTGAAATAATAAAATGTATAAAATTTAAAAATAAGATTATTATTATATCAAATCACATTAGACGCGTTTATTTCAAATTTTCAATTTTAACAATTAATAAATTATTCGTAAAAATATTTTAATTAACTCATTAAATTCTAAATTAGACAGATAAATCTATTTATAATTGAATTATTAACTTAGAAAGATAATCTATGGTTTAAAAATGAGCGTGGGGGAGCAAGCCTCGTGGCCATATGCCTAGGTTCCTCTCCTTTTCTAAATTATTAGACATTTTATCTAATCAAACTCAAAGCCCTACACGACACTCCGACAGCAATATCAATGTCGCACTTCGAGGAAGCTGTTATTTTTTTAATTATTAAAATACACTTAAAAAATCACTGAACTCGGTGATCTACATTTGCATATACGTGTATTCAGTGTTGGCCTTGGAAACCAAATTGAAACGACAGGCTATATGTGTATATTTAACATCAAGAAGATCAAATCTGTACTTAAATTATCTTTTACAGTATTCAATTGATTTAAGTTATGGCAATCACATGGTATGCTGTGCAACCGGTCGTCTTGGGTCTGGTCAAATTTTTGATCAAATTAATTTGATTCAAACATCTTTCGTCTGAATACAA